CATCCAAACTCACCGCAGGAGGATGAGAGATTGGCGAAATAGCAACAGGCTCATCCCGGTATCGTTATCCAACATTTGGTGTACAACAGCAAGAGAGCCAATATCATCTACAGACGACCATCTATCGTGAAGTTGTATCCAGCAATCAGCATGACTCCATTGCTGAACATGATGAGATAAGAGTTCGACTAAGTGGCAGCCCTCCAGCTTCCCATGAAACATCATGTAATGGGGATCCAGAGTTAGAAGCGCTCGAGCATCTCTTAGAGCCCCTTCATAATCCATGAGGGAAATTGAAAACCATGCACGGAGCTCAAGGCAATCGGGAGAGACCTTAAAACGGATTATTTTGTTAATCTCAGAGATAGCACCCCCGAGTTTATCCTCCACCATAGAGACAGCCCTATATTTGTATGGATAGGAAAGAGTGGGGTCCATTTCAGTAGCGGTATCCAAATCCATCATCTTCTCTTTTCCACTAGAATACAGAGATCGTTCCTGGTACATCCACCCACAAGGCGTGTAGTCAGAAATGAGTGAGTTCATCAACTTGTATGCCTTGTACTTGTGACCACGCTTAAACTTGGCTCTAGCTACGCCAACTAAAGAATAAACATGACCAGCTTCCACAGCTGCTTCAAACCATTTCTGGGCATCCTTGTATTCCTCCCTCTCGAGCATCACACACCCTAGCTGATGGGATGCAAGTTGCTTTTGCCAATTTTCAGCAGCACAATCTCCCATTCTTTCCAACAGAATTACAGTTGTGTTTGATTTCATGTCTTCCTCCATTGCTATCTGGCTCAAAAAACTGTACAGCAAAAATGAAGAATGCCCCGCCAATGCTAGTCTTTCGCGTCCCTCTGAAGAGCAGAACAGCCTTGTGACATTTGGATTGTGCATCGAATTTGGTAGCTCCCTCAAAAATACCTGCAAGCAAGCTGCCACTAAAAGATATGCAGTCTCCTCCAATCCATATTCAATTAGCAGCATAGCATTGTCCATATCGCCGACCAGAGATGCTAAATGTGCATCACAAGCAGACTTCATTTCCTCACAACAAAACTTATTAGCCAATAAAAGAAGTTCCAGGACAATATTCGAATCAAACGAATCTACACTCTTCGTCCTGCTAAACACCTCCGCGGCTCTCATCCCATTTGCTGAAATCCCATTCTGGGAAAAATATATCCTTTCTTTCCGTGATTCCATGAAGCTACCATACAACATTGCGTTAAATGGTCTGGAAATTGAGGCCATGTTATATCTATTGCACTTCACCTCATCATCACCAACACAAAAATACATATCATAATCAACATCATCATTAAAACTGAACGAAGTCGAGCATTCCATGCTTTCGTCCTCAAAATTAGCCTCCCCACTTTCCTCCAGAACACGGGGACACGAACAAGGATCATTCACAGACTCGGGATTATACCCTGAAACAAGTGAACTCCTCGGGCATTCCATGATCCGCCCACAACAATCCATGGCCGATATACCAATAAACTCGTCCTCCCTCCTCTCATACCTCAACCAAGCTGAAAGCACGACCTTAGAATGCACATCCACAGCGTGTTGCCTAGCCGATGTAAGACATCTCCTAAACAATTTCGGATCAGGCAACCCCCTAAATATTGCACATTGCTCAAGATACAATCCTGATCTCTCAAATTGAGGGCAATTCACCATTTTTCTATAAGCCTCAGCTAAGATCTCCACAAACTCGACAAATTTAAGACACGGCTCTATCTGGGGCTCAATGAGATCCAACTGAGGAAGCCCATATATCGCTAATGCCTCAACCAATTCATTCGAATTCACATTACAATTCCCAGATAAACTATTGTAACGACGATGAGATTTCGACCAATTCGGATTAACCCTCAAATGATCTTGCAGGTGTTGTATAAATTTCTCCCCCACACCACCACCGCCGCCACCAGTGGTTGTCGGATTATTAACAGAGTATACTTGGGTGCCCTTGCACCCATCCATCATCTTCAAACTACGCATTGTAGTAAATATATTATTCTGCATCTTGCCTTACTCAAAATTCCAAAAATAATTACAAAAATTACATAAACAAAAAAATAATAATAAAAAATAAAAAATGCAAAATTTCACAAAATGAAATCCCAGAAAAGTAAACATAAAAAACTCAAAAATTAAACTTGCAAACACCACCGTATGAGAAAGAAAAAAGAAAACTTCAAATACAAACAACAATGGTGTTGCAGGAGATTGTTATCAATATTTTTTCGAAAAAAGAAAAAATTGGGTCTTTATTTTTTTCCCTATTTTTTTCTGTTTTATTTGTTTCAACAACGACGACGACGATGATGACGAATGGGGTTTGCCCGTGGCCTGTAAACGGCCACACTGTTTCCCTCTTTCCCTCTCTCTATAAATATCTGTATCTATATATCTACAAGTTTGATTGTACAATTGCTACTTTCAAAGACAACAATTACAATGTAATGGGCGTTTCAAGATCCGCTAGAAAAGGAGAACCTCTGAAGAAAAAGGCAGTGTATAAGCTACCCATTTCTCTGCGTATTGTGCATTTTCCCTCCCGCAAAATTCGGGCCTGATAATAGAAGGGATTTTTTTTTTT